ATCCACGAGTGGCCCCGAGAGAACAAGAACGGAGGGAAAGGCGAGCATCTCTCACCGTCCATTGCAGCTCGAACACAGTCTTCTCACCTGTCTGTGAGCATCTGAACTCAAGACTCTTGAGCCTTGGGGTTCCAGGACTTACACCAGTGGCAACCCCAACTCTCAGGCCTTTGGCTTGGATTGAGAAGCTCACCATCAGCTTCCCTGCTTCTGAGGCTTCTGGATTTGCACTGAGCCACATACCAGCTTCCAGTTTGCAGAAGGCCTATGGTGGGACTCCTGAGCCTTCACAATTGTGTGAGTCAATTCCCCTTATAAATTTCCTCTTGTCTATTTATGTGCATATCCTATTGGTTCTGTCTCTCTAGAGAACCCTGAGTAATACACCAAGGTATTAAAGTTTGTATATTTTTTGATCTTAGGACCTCTGTATGCTCTTAAAAATGACGACTAAGTATTGAAAATGACTGTATTTTTCTATCATCTACCAAATTAGAAATTAAAACCAAGGAAGAATTTTTAAATATTTACTAATTTTATTTTATTTTTTTTTGTTGTCTTTTGTCTTTTTCCGTGTCCGGCAACGGATCGCAACCCTCAGTGTTGCCCCCGTACCGGACCGGGGACCGGCAACGGGATCACAACCCTCGGTGTTGCTCCCGCGCCTCGCTCAGCCATTGAGCGGGAACCGGTCTGTATGTGGGATCCGAACCCTCGGGCGGGAGCGCCGCCGTGCTTCCCAAGCGGCGCACTTATCCAGTGCGCCACCGGGCCGGCCCCTACTAATTTATTTTTAAATAACCAAAAATCTACTACATATTCACATAAGATTTTTCTATGGAAAATTAACTACCCTTTTCATTACAAAACCCAAAACAGTGGGAAGCATGACACGGCTTTGAATTTTGTAAGGCTGTTTCATGTGTGGCTTCTTAGAGACAGCTGGAATCTCACCTCTGTGAAATGTTACAACCCTGGATGAAACCTTTGGAAGACTCCACTCTACACCCAGGTGAGGACAAAAATGTAAAAGGCAGGTGACATCCTAGTATCATTATGAAACCAGTTTTGATTTCATGGGCCCCCTGAAAGGACCCCAGGGACACCAAGCCACACCTTGACAACATCAAAGTTTGCGATCTTCAAGCTCAAGAAGTATCAGAGAAACATCAGATGTCCAGCTTCAGAACTGAAAAGCATCACCAGGCCCAGCCACCCGCCCTCAGGACATAAGGAATTTTCACCCACATTTTTCAAATGAGGGAACAGAAAGATACATTCTTGGCTTTTGGGGAAGCTGGAGAGAGAAGAGGACGCAGGACAGAACAAGGGGATGCCAGATTCATCCCTATGCCCAGCCTGTCTCAGTCTCCAGCAGGATGAGGCCACTTGCTTTCACTATGAGGACCAGGGGCAGCCAACCACACAGAAAACACAGTCAGAACTGCCATTTGCCGAGCACAGCTGAGCTGCTGGGTTCTGTGCAAAACACAATTCCTTCCCAACTAGTTAATCCCCATGGCTCCCTACCAGCCATGAGCTAGGATCATCCCTTGAGAAACTGACTTCCAGAACAACTACACAGTCAGCAAAATGGCAACCCCACGCAGACTCAGCTCTGCCTCCTGGGCCAGGGTACCAGCAACGCACCACACCACCTCCCAGA